CATAAATTATTTCTTACAACATGTCAATACAACGTCCATATCGAGAAAGTTAAATTAACAAAAAAAAAGGATATTAATTTAATATCTATGTTATTTATTTAACAAAATCAATATAAACAGAATAAGTAAGAGAATAAAAAAACTTAAATAATACTAAAAAACTTATCTAACAAAAATAATATAAATATTTAAGCTAATTATTTAAGAAATCAATATTAAGAAATTAAATTAACTAAAAAATAAAACGAAAATTAAGTTTTACAAAATATTATTTTTAAAAAAAACATTTAAAAATATATTGACTTGATATCTGACTAACTATTTCAAAAATTCATATAAAAATATTTAACTAACAAAAAATTTATTTCTTTAAAATATCAATATTTTTAAAACAATAGTGTGTTAAAATAAAATAAAAATCAATATCAAGAGAGGTAAATTATCAAAGGAAAAAGTAGCTTGATATTTAGGCTAACTACCAAACTAATATTAACTAAAAAAGCAAATGATGGTATAAGCTTTTGAGAGAAGTTTACTTAAAATTTAAAATAACCAGTTCTAGCATGTAAAAATAGCATTTTAATTAATTTAAAAACTAAATTTAACAAAAAACAAGCATTTATGTAAAAGATATTAGATTAATATATATGCTACATATTTGAAAAACCAATAACAAAAGAGATTAATTAAAAATATATATGTTTTAAGTATATCAAACCTGTAGAAAATTAGATAATTAAAATAAAATATAAAATTACCATCGTAGATATTTAAAATAACAAAAAACAAGATCTAAGAAGCAAATTAGTTTGAAATATAGTTCCAAAAATATTCATGATTTTTAAAATATTGGTTTTGACTATGAATAACCATATAAAGTTTTAATAGGTTATACAAGTTTTTAAATCAAACATATTATTTAAATTTATAAAGATTAATACCTTGGTTGCGTTTGGTTGGAAAATTAACAAAGTAAAATACTACACAAGTAACTTTACATTCAAAATATAATAAGTAATAAAGTCTGATTTGTATACATATTTACTACTTATAACCTAGTCAACATGAACAACACATGAGCAACATCTTCTAAAATTTTATTAAAATAGTATAATATGACAAAGTTATGAATCAAATTCAAATGGAAATATATGATGATAAAATATTCAAGTCAAAACATAAATAAACACACAAAATATATAAAAAAAAGTGATAATGTGAAGTCTCAACATCATCTTACATGTTTAAAAACAAATATTAGCAAATAGTTGACTGCAAATAAAACAGATCTTATAAACTGAATAGAGATATAACCTAAAATTCGTAGAAGATCTGGTGGAGAAGCAAAAAGCCACTTTACACGATTAGTGTAGCTTACTAACAAAAGTAAATCTGAATCAACATATATCATATATTATATATGTATATGTACACAATATTAGTGAGACATTTAGTAAAGAGACTAAATATTTAAACATATAAACCTTTTTAAAAAAAGAACCATAAAGGATACAAAACAAAACACCAAAAATTTAGTAAGGAAATCATTTTTCTACATCAAACATATGCACATCAAAGTTGGATAATTCGTTAGGTGTCATTACTATGATTATACTTAATACGATTTATAATTTTATAAACAAAAATAGGAAATACTACATATTATGTTTTGTTTTTTTTTATATAAAAGAAAATTTCAACAAATATATTATAGTTTTGATAACTTAAAAGATATTAGCCAAAAAATTAAACCAAATTATTAATACAGACTCGCGCATAGCGCGAATTAAAAGCCTAATAATATATACAAGCTAAAGGCATAATGCATTGAGAACGTCCACATAGGATGAAGAAACTTAATTTGATTGGTCCACATTAACGTTTTTCATTAAATACAAAATGTTAAGTATGATTAAGATGAAGAAACTGATGTAAGATTCAAGTCCAATTCACTTAAAACAACCAAGAAGAGGAACCTTGGAGCTAAAGAAGGTGCAGAACAGCTTTTAGCTGTGGAGTAAGGAGGCTTTGTAGCTGAGGATGGAGCAGCTAAGGACTTAGCCATCAAACGACATCACTCTATACATCAAGAGGGACGTTTTGGTCGAGCTAAATACCCACTGGTTCGAATCAAATCAGAAGTTATCTCACCTAAACCGCTGAAGCTAACCAAGGAGCCGTTTATGAAACCTTGCATATACATGTCCCCAATATGTTATGCGACCGACCATCATCATTTTCTGAAGTTAATCCACGCCCTAAACCGCCAGGAGGAGTCAATAACCACGCTCAATCATGCCAAACCAAAGAAGAACCGCCCTTTTCCTTACATGGACCCATTGGAGCATTATTTCATTCATACAAGGAAAACTCGGATATATGTCATTCAGAGACATTATATTCGACCCACACCACTTCCACAGAAGCTTACAAGAGCCTTACCACACCAGAAGAAGTCAACAATCGCCCCCTTTTATCAGAAGTCAAAGAAGATCATGCCAAAGAAGAACTTTCCTTACTTGAAGATAATTACTTTGCCTCTGAAGTAAAGAAGGACCAACGACCATATAACTCAGTTAATCTCGTCCCTACATCACCTCTGGAGGATCCAAGACATTCATTTCACGCCAAGGAATCAACACAACCTCCCCATTCATTGCCAAAGTCAAGGATATGCACATTAAAGCCTAATGGCTAGGAAAATGGAGCCAAGAACAAATTCCCTCTTTCATGCTTTTCTTTTACTTAGTTACCGTTTATTTTCCCTCTTTTGAGTATTATATAAGCTCATTTACATTGTATTTTGAGAGCACGAAATTATCAATCAAAGAAAGTTATTTTTGTTTCAAAGAAAAGTACCTCTTTGCATACAAATTGTTTTTGCTTTTTATTAAGTTCTTTTTGAGGGATTCAAAGAACTTGTGAGAAGTGTAGAATCTCCTAAGCTCTTGTGAGGATTAGCCCTTGAGCTGAGAAGAATCTAATCCTTGGTGTTTGAGGTCATCAAGCATCAACAAGGCTACAAAACCATCAGTCTTTTCTTCCATTCTATCCAGCTTGAAGCAACAAATTCTAAGGCACATTCCTTGAAGCAATTTGAGGCTTGTATCAGAAATTCAATATGATTGGTCCACATTAGCGTTTTCTATTAAACACAAAAATGTTAAATTTGATTGAAATATTTAAAAGTTATTTTCTATTTTTAGAAAAGGAAATTATGTTAAAAACCAAAAAATAAAAAAATAGTATCCTTCAAAATAAAATGGAAATTTGTTTTCAAAAGTGATAAACTAACAAAAAAATCGATATCATAAAAGCTCAAACTTATAATGTAGATTAGGAAAATTCTAACTTCTAAATTAATTGACAAGAAAATAAAAAAAACTTTAATTTCGTTTTATAGATGAAAAAATAAAAAAGCTTAAATAACAAATAGAAAAGAAAATTATATTAAAAAAATCAAAATATATTATCCCTTGAAATTAAATGGAAATTTAATGTAAAAAAATCAAACTAACCAATAAATCAATATCATAAAAGTTAAAACTTATAGCATAGATTAGAAAAATTTATAACTTATAATGCATTGCACATATACAAATATATAATAATAACGTTATATACTGTCTATATGATATTAGAAAACTGATCATCATCAAAGACGAGAACTTTCTTTGTCCAGTTAAGCTAATGATATCGCCAATGGTGGAAGTCATATGTTCACTTGCAATTAAAAAAATAAGCATGTTTTCCCAACAATTCATTTATATATTTTAATCTGGAATACAATCTATGTTTACTTACCATCCTTTTATATTTTTTAAACAGTGGGCCAATTGTTCGTGTTACTCTTCCACCAATTTTTAAAGAAAAATAATGAAAAGTGTTGTTAAACTTGTTGTGCTCCTGACCACAATTATGTACCCAAAAATATTTCAAGGTCTGTAATCTCAAACATATAATTACCATTGTTTTACTATTTTTTATGAAAATATGATGAATCCTAAAATAAATTAGATAATAAGATTTATTTAACTCCTAACACTTTAAATTGCATCATGTAGAAGTATTATTTTTGAACTCCACTTCTTCCACCCGGTTATTTTCCGACAAATATATTGAAGCAATTACTGACTATACTCACTATTTGACATGGTAAATACGCTCACATGCATATACATCACCATACTTTAATTTCCTATTGTGTTTTTAGATATGAAAACAAACTGTTTTAAAGCTATTATGATATGATGAGAAAATAAACATGTTTTTATTAAAAGCTTTTTTAGCTTTCAACATGTTATAAATTTATGTTTCAAAATAAAATATGAATCATTATTAAAAGAGGGAAATTAACAAAAAAAAAATCGTATAAAATAAAACTAACTTGGAATAAAGTTTTTGAAAATCAATATAAAAAAACTTAACTAAAATAAACAAATGATATTATAAGCTTTTGAGAAGAGTTCATCTAAGATTTAAATTCAACAGTTAAAGCATATCAAATCAGTTAGAGCATATCAAATCAAATGTATATGTACATCAAATAGTCATTATTATTATTTTACCTAATAATTTTTAAAATTTTATAAATAAAAGTAGGAGAAAATTACACATTATTTATTAAATTCTCTAATAATTTTTTTTATAAATATATTATAGTTTTAATAATTTAAAAAATAGTAGTTAAAAAATAATTAAATCAGACTCGTGCGTAACATAAGTTATATACCTAGTATTTAAAGAAAAGCAATGGAAAAGCCGAAAAACGCAACACTATAATACCTAAATTTAATTCGTACATGCATGTTTATATACAAGAATTCACGATGGGATCTAAGTGCAGCCTTGACAAAAGAAAAGCACCAGAATTTTGATCAAAACAACTTTTAAGAGTATTCATAAGTCATCAAATCACAAATCCAAATATATATAATAAAATGTCATACTGGATGTATACGTAGGGCCACTATCTAGTGACAACAAAGATAGAATACCACTGCCCATTTGTTTTACCATGTCGTGTTAGACATATGCTCCGAATAGCTTTACAAAATTTGAATATTAAAATTTTTTGAGATCGATATTTCGCATTATAGAAAAACAAATAGCAAAAATGTGAATTTTCTCATTCAGTGTATCATTAACAAAAAATCTCTCGGCGAATCATAATCACTCAAATACATCGTTCGCACTAGCAAATTTTGTTTTTTTCGCTTCAAAGGGCAGTGACGGAGCAGTTATTCGTGAGGGCAATATGTTTACTGAGTTTCTTGTGTTCAAAGTTAATCAAACACACGATTCTCTTGTAGAACTTGGGCTGAACTAACTTCCCCAACACGTAAGCCCGAGATCTAACGGTGAAGTTCAACCTCATTGGCACCGGAGCAGGAGGTGCCGGTGGCTCGACGATCACGATTGGTCCTTTCTTCTTCTTGCTTTTTGTTGGAATCGGTGCAGGAGGTGGTGGTGGAACTAAAGTAGAACCACTTCCGTAAAGAGGAGTCTTGTCCCCAATCACATTCACCAGTACCGTTCTTTCGCTTTTTCTCGACTGGTAAAATTTCTTAACCTGCAGTTGTAAAAACAAAACAAAAAGTCAAATCGGAAGTGTGTCAAAAAAACAAAACTTAGTTGAAGAATGGAGATTAAACTGTAAGAATATTTTTGTACTGAATAAATCGAATCCAAATCGAATTTTGTGCAACGAAACTGGATTGGTTTATGTAAAAGTTAAATATCTACCAAATATACATTTTAAAATTGTATATAAAATCAATCAAAGTTTACAACTTTATTCACTTTTTTTTAATCAAAAACCAAGAATTGAATAAAAAACTATTCCGTTTTAGTTCGGTTACATCTAAATTATTAAAAGAGAATCATTCTTAATAAATGTTCAAAAATTATCATGGTATTTATAATATATGCCATTACATTTACTAAATAATTTCATAAATTCATTAAGAGTAATTTAGTCATATCATTAAATCACTAAAAATATATTAAATTAAATTAAATTATATTAGTTTGTTAACAGATAATACCAATAAATTATATCTGATATTTAATAAAATTTAAATTAATATAATTTCGAATTATTTCAAAATCTTTCATAATATCTTAACATAATTACCACAAATATATATGGCATGAATAATTAATATAATTATATATTATATTATAAATTAAATATATATTATATTATAATCAATTTTTTCTCTATACAATTAAAAAAAACACTACTTTAAAATGTTTAAAAGCTATTATGATATTTATTAAATGTGACAATTTATAGTCAATGATGAATATATAACCATTATGTTTTGGTCACATATATACATACTATGAAAAAAATATTATGTAAATAATTTTTTCATGGTTTGTTAATGATTTTTTTGCCTAAAATTATGGGTTTGCGGATTTGACTAACACAAATTTGTAGATTTTATGGGTTTTACAAGTTTTAGCGGATTTTATAAGTTTTAGCAGAAAATATACTTTTACGAGAAAATGCCGGTTTAACAAGAAATATATATGACAATTAATATAATTATATATTGTATTATAAATTAAATATATATTATATTATAATCAATTTCTTCTCTATACAATTTAAAAAAAAACACTACTTTAAAATGTTTAAAAGCTATTATGATATTTATTAAATGTGTCAATTTATAGTCAATGATGAATATGTAATCATTATTTTTTGGTCATATATATACATACTATGAAAAAAATATATGTAAATAATTTTTTCATGGTTTGTTAATGATTTGTTTTTGTCAGAAATTATGGGTTTGCGGATTTGACAAACACAAATTTGTAGATTTTATGGGTTTTACAAGTTTTAGCGAATTTTATAAGTTTTAGCAAAAAATATACTTTTACGAGAAAATGCCGGTTTAACAAGAAATGTGTTTTTATAGATTTAGCAGAAACACATGATTTTAGAAATTTGATTTTGCAGATTTTATGGGGTTTACGAAAAAACACGGGTTTACAGAATGCGAATAACGCAATTTTACGGATTTTATGGGTTTTAGCGGGAAAATATAGTAATACGGGAAAATGCGGGTTTGTGGGTTTGGAAACTCAATTTTGCAGGTTTGGCAGAAACACATGAGTTTAGAAATTTGGTCGTAAAACATGATTAACAAATTTATGAAAAATATGGGTTTGTGGATTTGGTCAGAAACGTGATTTTGCGGATTTTACGAGGTTTACATGTTTTGGCGGGGTTTATAGGTTTTGATGGAAAATGTGGTTTTATGGATTTTATTGAAAATACAGATATGCGGTTTGATGAGAAACGCAGTTTTGCAGGTTTGACAAAAACACGTAATTTTAAAATTTTGGCCACAGAATACGATTTTATGGTGTTGGAGAAAACATAAATGTTGGTTTTGTTAAAAAATGTGGGTTTACAATTTTGGAAGAAAAATACGGTTTGATGAAAAATGCTATATTTACAGTTTCTACGGGAATTCCTGATTTTGGTACAACATGATTTTAGTAATTTTTGATTTTGTTAAAAAAATGTGGGTTTACAGTTTTGGCAGAAAAATACAGTTTGATGGAAAATGCTATTTTTACAGTTTTTATGGAAACTCCCGATTTTGGTACAACAACGTGATTTTAGTATTTTGCAGAAAATACATCTTTTTATTTCGATCAAAACTCTGATTTTATGGTTTTGACAACGAAAAAACTTGATTTTATGGTTTAAAAAAATGTATTTTGGTCTTTTAATTTTTTAGATTCAAATGCTGCATCCAAACTCTATTTTTTTAGCATCTTAAATATTCAAATTTTGAGATATTATAGATTTTGTATTTAGCTATCTTAAAAAACAATATTTGAATATTTACATCTAAATAAGTATCTGGATGCAAAAACAAACAAATCCTAAGTAAATATTGAAATCTTATTTACAAACAAATAAAATTTCTCTTGCATTATAAAACATAATACTTTGAAAATATTTGTTATAGAATTTAACCGGAAATCTGTTAATAAAAATATTGTTTTTTTAGAAAATCAAGCCTAAATAATTTTAAGAACATAAAACTATATCGTAAAAATAGTTTATAAAATCTAATAAAACTTTCTGTTTGGACTACAATTTTGGATTTAATAATATAAACTGATTTTTTTGAACAAAAGTTTAATATAAACCGATTTTTGATGTGGTTTAAAAATATTTTATGAAAAGAAATCCGTGCAAGTGCGCGGATCCAAAATCTAATAGTTATTTAAAACAAAATAAAAAAAACCGAACGTGCGTACTCGTGATCATTATGATGTAACACCGACAACGTTAACCAAAAAAAAAAACTAAAAACCAAACAAAACCCAAATTTTTTCATATGGAACCAAAAGTGCGATGATTCCAATTTACTATACATTTTTACAGCATACATTTTCTTATAATAAAATATAGAGAATGTAAAATTGATTATTTTTACTATTTTTTTTTTCATCAAAAGCCAAACCAAACTTAACAAAACAGCATTCAGTTTTAGTTTGGTTATACATTTTTTCAAAACAAATAATAAACACACAGAATCGAATGTGCACTCCTGATCAACCCATGTGTTGGTAGCAACTAACAACCGACAATATTGACCAAAGACAAACCAAATACCAAACCAAGCCGAATATTTCAAATCTGAACCAGAAAAGGTTCGGTTATCCATTTTTCAAATTCATCTGGTGATAGCAACAGTCACTCACAGACAACAACATTGATGAACATGGATTCAAACATGTTTCAGATAGTATACTTACAGTTCCAGAACCGATTGTGATCTGAGAGAAACTAAGATCGATCGGAGAAGAAGTGACATGGACACCAAAGAAAGTACCAGTGTTTCTATACATCATTCTCAATGTCGCATTCATCGTGATCATGTCGGTTCCTATTCCTCCAGCATCTTGTCCTGCTTGGACCTTAAGTTGCTCAAATGTTATACTCTGCACATTCGATTCACAGATTCCGATTCTATCAATCCGATTTTCGATCTAGATCCGATCTGAGTTATTAGTATAAAGAAGGCTTATATTCTTGATTTCAAGAATCTAATCAATTTTACTAACCTTGACTAAGATCTTTGGTTTCTGAGGTTTAGCAGCTGCATAAAGAATCAAAGAGAAGAAAGCAAAGAGCAAGGAGAATCCAACAATGAAGGCTAATACATAGCATCGACGAGGCAAACCTTCTTCTTCTTTGTCTCCATCATGGAGCAAACCTTCTTCTTCAATCATGGCGAACTTCTTCTCTCCGGCGTGAGGTTTGCGCTTAGAGCCGTTGATCTTGGAGAAGCGGCTAGAAGAGGAGTGAGAATGCGGAGGTGATCCCATCGGGCTAAGAACCGGCGTGGAGTGGAATGATGTTGCTGTCTTCTCTCCATCGTGGGAATCACGTGACGGAGACTGGACGTAGTATGCCGGTCTACGGGGAGATCTAGTCGGCGATGAAGCAGCGAGGCTTGTTACCTCTGAGTCAGTTTTGGCGTGCATCTTGAGATTCAAGAAATTGATGGAGAAGAATAAGAAGACGACGAAAGGGGAGAGTTATATCTTTATATATTGAATGGTTAGTCAATGAGTGGATTTGAGGGACATTAAGATAGGTTTTTTTTTGTAATCCGGTTGTAATCAAAATTTTAGTAGGCTAATAAATTTTAGTTATAATCGTTACAAGAAGCAGGGAAACGGTTTATTTGGCCCTCCTTGAAGCCTGTGGCACAAAAACTCAAGACATTTTAAGAGGAGATTGATTCATTTCATATCATGTCAAGCGAACAAAATCGCCGATAATATAGCTAAATAAGTTCTTTATTTCGGATTAATGGATCAATTACGATCTCAGCCGAGCTGCATGGGCATAAAATTTGGAACAAAAAATCCGAACAAAAATCGACCCAAAATAACTGATTTGGTCTGATTTCAAATATTCCAAAAATACCTAATGGTTCCTCCATATGATTACTTGTGGGTATTGGTTTGGTTTTGGATTTTATCCGATATCCGATTGACCTGAAATAAAAATGTACAATAAAATTTATATAAATTAATAATGTTGGGATTTCAAAAATTTATTAATTTATAAAGAGATTTTTTGGTTCAATTTTATAATGTTCATAATCACACAATAAAAAATATTTTTGACATTATAGAATTTATTTAAAATTTTCATATCATTGAATTTTAAAAATTGGCTCAGTAACATTTATAAACTTAAAACAACAATAAAAGTATATTTTACTATACATACATTAGTTATATATGCTTAGATATATAATTGTTAATTTATCTGATTATTAAGACTATATTTATATAGAAATTTCAAAAACAAAATTATTAACTTATTAAATTTTGTTAATTTTTACACTGGTTCAATTCGGAACCGATAAAATATATATATTTATATTAATTATTAATTTATCGAGTATTAATGAATAGAAGTTCTAATGTATTAGTTATTTTTTAGGTATTGCAGTTATTCAATTATATTTTTATTAATTTTTTGGGTATTCAGGTATATCTTTTTGGATTTTAAAATATATTTTTATTATTTTTGGGTATATATTTTAGTTTTCAATTAGGTATAGGTACATTTTTGGATTTTCAGGTATTTGTTTTGGTTTTCGGCTATATTTGGTGTGATTATGTACAAAAAATTTCGAATATTTACGAGTTCTGAAGATTGAGAATCAAACCAACCAATAATCGATAAGAACCGAACCAATTTGGTTCCTAAATTGGTCCAAAATTCCCTCTAACTGAAAGATCCAAAACCGATTGGTTCGTACCTATAACCAACACAAATACCTGAATGCATTAAACTAAACCGAGCAATATCTTCATAAAATTGTAAATCAATTCGTATGATTATAATCACTATTTATGGGTTTTTGAAATAGGGGGTTTTGATAACTGGTTTCTGTGTGTGACTGTTATATTCAAATCCTAACACACTCATGTTATTGCAATATGAAATGTGTTAATTCATCTGGGCATGTAAGTTATTAAGAATACACTCATGTTATTGCAATATGAAATATGTTAATTCATCTAGGCATGTAAGTTACTAAGAATACAGCAGTTCATTAAGTTAAGCCAAATTTAAGAAAACAGGTGTGATCAAACTAAACAAGACTAAACAGCACAAATTCAAAGCAGGAAATTCAAATAGATTAAAGCAAGGATTTAAGATAGGAGTTATTGACTAAGAAGAGTTTAGAACCAAACTAGTGATGCTTCAAAACTATTCAAATAATGCTATCTTCAAGGCATATGATTAATAACTATAACTAGTTCAATTCCTTGATACTAATCATTTTGCTAAACACATAATCAGATAACTTCCATTACTGAATAGAAGATTAACAAGCATTCAAACAAAAATCTAATCTTATAAAGCCAAAATGCACCTTAGACATCTAATCTCTTAAGCTAAGTGAACAAATCCTCTAAAAGACTTATTGCAGCATTTCATCAAACACTTATCAGGCATAAGAGGAAGCCGAGATACTAAGCAAGTCAGGCCAAGACTAATCTAGTGTTAAACACATCTAATAGAGAGAAGAGAATCATAAAGCACAAGACATCACTAATCTAATCCTAAAACCCCTCTAATCTATCTCATCTCAAACCCTAAATAAGACTACTCACTAGTTATAGTCAAAACCACAGATTCCAAAGAGAAATAATGGTTAAGCATGATTAGAAAGCAGAATATGCAATAATAGATTGAAGGCAATTGCAGAAATTCACTAAATCAAACTAGTTCTTACAAAGCAAAGCTGAAAAAGGAAAGGTTTTTAATGCTAGAACAGTAGAAAAAATAATAAGATAAGAGTTACCTAAACATTTTAGGACTTTAGTATTTATAGGGAGGCTTAGAAACCCCTAATAAACCAAGAATAAACCGAATTAAGGCTAACTAGGCTGAACCATATCGGCTTCTTATATCGATATTGACATCGATACTGGGTCTTCTTGTGGTTGTATCGACATGCTCCTGGTCGGTATGGTGGTCGATACACAAGGCTTCAGGGGTGTATCGGCTTGACTCTCCTGGTGTAGACATCGATACAATCTCCCTTTTCCTAAGGCATATGGAGCAGATTCATGTCGATATAGCACTTCGATATTGCCCTGTCTCTGGTGTATCGACTTGGGTGATCGAAACACTGCTCAGTATGAGTCCATTATGGTGTATCGAGGTCCCCTTGATCGATATGTTTTTCTGTACACCATGCTCCTTCTATGTCGATATGAAGTCATCGATATGCAGTCCGATACACTTCCATATCGACCAGATCATGTCGATATCCTGCTCGATATTGGTCCATCCGACCTTGTCCTTCTCCTTGCTCCATTCCCAGCTCACATCCATTGCACCACTTGGTCTCCAAACTCCTTATAGTACCTGAGTAAAACTCCAAATGTAAGCAAATGATACGAGACTTTTTTGGACTTGATTCAATCACCTAATGCTTGTACTAGTCAGTTGTAGCATAGCATATGTTTTTATGTCAATCCAAGGGGTTAAGATGAATAACACTAGAGTTGCAAGTAGAAGACTCTAAGTCAAGTAGATTCAAAGAAGATTTTCTTGCTTAGCAACTAAAACTAACACCCTAAGTGATCAAACACCAATCAGCACTAAAAAAAGAACAGTTTAGCAATGATCAATGAACAAAACAGAGCAATAAAACAGAGCAAATGGCAAAATTCGAAATTCAATAAGAGAAAACAAGTTCCTAGATGTGGTTATTGACTTTGGGGAATTCAAAGGCTAACTAAAGTTGTTTCAAACATCATTGATCAAGCAAACAAGCTATCAATGCTGATTCCTAGACATAGAGTTCACAATCAAGCAAGTTGAGTTCAATCTCTTGACAAATAACACTTTACTAATCATCCTAACAAGCACTAACTCTCATTAGTGCTAGAACAATCAACAAGCATACATAACCAACTCTATTCAAGTCAAAATACTCCTCAAACAGTCAATCTCTTGAGCTAAGGCCAGTAAATCCTCTATTAACCAAAATCAGCATTTCATCAAACACTTGGTGGGCATAAAATGAAGCCTAATTCTAGATTCATATGATCAAGACAAATCTAGCTTAAGAACAGATTAATAGAGAGGAATTAATCATATTAAACACAAACAAATCCTAATCAAGCCTCTAAATTCCCCTAATCTACCTCATCTAAGAACCCTAAGAGAACTACTCACTAATCACCATAGTTAACACCAAATCACAAGAGTAAATGATGCTAAACATGATTAAAAGGCAGATTAGAAAAAAGATTAAAAGGCAAATACAAACTTTGATTAAAAAGACAGATTTGTTCTTACAAACTCAAAAGAAATCAGAAAGCTTAAGCAAGAACAAAACTTGATTCTAAAAACATTAGATCAAGTCTGTTTATACTAAAAGACAAATGCCCTTGATTAATGGCAAAGTGGTAAATAGAAGCAAGTTCAGACTGGAAACCATTGGTCTAGAGTGATCGGTGGCCTTGATCGATGGTGCATCCGGTGCATTCCCATCGATCACTTCTTGACCGATGGTCTTGATCGATGGTGCATCCGATGCATTCCCATTCATCACTTCCTGACCGATGGTCTTGATCGATGGCTTTGTCCTGTTTCCCATCAGTCTTGAGTGATCGATGGTGCATCCGTTGCATTCCCATCGGTCACTCCTTGACCGATTGTCTTGATAGATGGACTCCTGCTGCACCCTATAGATCATGCCAGATCGATGGCCTTGTTTCTTTGACCGATGGAACTCCAGAGATTGCTTTCCTTAGCTCCCTTTTGCTCCTTCTTGGCTTGGCTAGCTCCTTAATCCATTCCCAAACTTTCTCCTTGCTCCTTATAACTTCTTAGGTACCTAAAAACATCCTTAATGCATAGAGAATGCAAACTACAACCTAAATGCAGCCTAAGTCTAAAAAGAGAAGAAAATGGGTCTAAAAAGAAAGAAAACATGCAAAAGGAGACCAAAACATGAACTAAATGAAAGCGTAAATGATGTAAACGCATGAGATATCAGCAAAATGAAATGTAACTCGTAAAACTACACTAATTTCTAAATGTATGCAAATGGGACAAGAAGAAGCAAAATATGCATGTTAAGAAACTAAAATTAGTGATGAATGCATGCAAAGATAGTGTAAATAATGGAGATATCAACACTCCCACACTTGCCATTTGCTTGTCCTCAAGCAAACAAACTAAGACAAGGAGGAAGTGAGGTTTGAAGGTGGGCACTCAAATCCAAAAATGCTAAGGCAAAGAAGTGAAATCAATGTCTATGTGCCTAAGTGTAGGATGCAAAACACAATCAGTTATACTTAAAAGAACCTAGCCATGCCTATCCAGTTTCAAAATGATCTCTAGCTCAACTTAGTCAAATGCTCAAATCAATTAATCTCTTTAACATTCAATTTAACTATGGAACCAAGTGAATCATGTTTAAAAAAATCATGTGGAATCATTTGGATAAGGGTTAAGGTCATGAGATAAAAATTGATCTCATCAAAATGCGGGTTCAAATGCAAGGGTTTCTCTAAAAAAAGAAGGAACTTAGGCATAATGCTAAAGGTGAAGCACAACTTATGCATACAAGGATAGAT